CCGGGGAAAAACCAGGGTGTACGATGGACGCGTAGAATGCACTAAAATAGGTCATGGGTCGCAGACGTCTAGCCATAAGACAGCAAAAGCCGCCTTTGCGCAGAGCCTGCTCCATATTCAGGCACCCCCCACACGCACGAGAAAAGGCCCGAGTGAGTTTCTTATAGGTTACAGAACGTACATGCTCACGGTCGTTGAAGGGCAAATTTAAAATAATTCTTCCAAATCGAATGACCCTAGAGGGATCGACGGCCGGAATACAATTATTGCCGGGAAAAAGGTGCAGGTGGCACATGATGGACGCATAGAATAGAACATGAAGGCATGAAAAAAGTCACGAGTCGCAGACGTAGCTGGACATAGGATAGCAAAAGCCGCTTTTGAGCCCAACAAAATCCGCCTTTTACGCAACGCCGCACCGATCCTGCTCCAGATTTTAAAGCTCCGGAAAAAAATGAGAAAGAAATCACGGCACCGTTTGCCAAACCAGCGTGGTATACGCTAGACTCGAGGCAGTCGCTTTTTAGATTGGCGGAAATGACAGTTCAGTGCTGGCGTACCGCTGGTTCGAGCCTAGTACGCCGCTTTTGGAGCACACCTCCCAAGAGGTCCGAGTTAGTTTGAAACATCTTTGACGCGCAGAACGGGCGCCGGATGGGGCGGAGATTAAAGACGGTGTATGCTCAAGAAGAAATATCTAAAATAATTTGTCTGGTACGACAACCTGTCGGAATACGATTTGGGTTGCGGCAACGTCCCTGACATGCTCACTCACCTTCGAAGTTTTTCTTCTCTTGCCAGCGGGCGGGAATAGCAAAGATAATAGGGCAAAGTGGAAGCGAGGAGTGTGAGCAGAGTCAAGAAGACCAAAGAGGAGCGTCGCGCCTGAAGTGGGGCTCATTGACCACGACGCGTTCCTACCAAAGCAGTGGCCAGTAGACTGAGCGCCGAGGACTCCAAAGATTTGAATCCCAAATAGCCGTGAGATCTTTGGTCGCGACGAAACCGAATGAGTTGGGCCGGAGGAACTTGGGAGGTCGTCTTAAAGTGTAAGCCATAGAATAGGGTTTATGAGTTCATCACCCCCATCAAACCTTTTCATCCAACTCACGCGCATCTTCTCCATAGACGTTACACCCGGCCTGACTGAAGCGAAATTAATTATCCTCGTTGCTCGGTCGGATCCGAACCAGAGGACATCGAAGATGCTAAGAAAGCCGTACTAAGCCTCAGGGTCCTGAACTGACGTGGTGAACGAGGACCGGCATGCTCCAATTTATGCTCATGTGAGACGGACCCCGGGTAGTTCTGGATTCAATCCTTCAACAGGTACTCACGAATGGTACTCGAGTATATTATATAACGAGTGCTTGTTCACTCTTGTTCGACGCCCTCTCTACTCTCAATCCTCTCGACGAAATGTGCTGCAACGCTCCCGCAAAGGCAGACCCTGGCAATGAATCCCCCTCTGACCACGTCGACCAAACTGACCACGTCGACCAAACCCTTGTGGCTACTCCCTTACCAGACGGATATTGGCTCCACGCCTTCCCTTTCGACAAGAACTCGGCTTTTCCTGATCTTGTCGGCTTCGGGTTGGGATTCCAAGACAAGTCAGCCGCGATAAAGCTGTTGATCAATCCGAAGAATAGTGGGTAAGCGGCCCAGTTTCCCGGTACTTATTACCGTCTCAGTTCATCGTGCACACAGTGCTAGCGGCTGGAAGCTCACAGAGATACAAAAGCTCGATTTCCCTGTTAGCATGGTGTATGCCGATCTGACAGGTGATGGCCTTAACGACAGTGAGTGGAGATATTGTAGTGTCAGCGCTTGACTGAGTGCGTTTTGTCTACTCCAGTCATCATATGCGACCGCTACGGTCCCAACATGGACGACGCAAGCGACCATTTTCTCAACTTGTCCCTAGACTAAAGCTATTGTTTTTAGCTCTGGGATGGCAAAACCGGAAATGGTGGACGTATCCAATGGCTCCGCAACTCGGGCGACAGGGATGCTCAACCGTATTGGACCGCACACCACATTGGAAATTCCACTGGAATGCACAGGTATGCTGAGATTTAATTTTGCGAGATGAAGATAATAACGACGATGTTTTGAACAGACTCCTTGGTGCGTTTTGTACTCTTTGAGCCCCAGCCCCGTTAACTAATACTCATCTCCAGCCGGGCATTTCACCGTGAAAGATCACATCCAGGTCATGGGACTTCCCGTCATCGCGGCGTCTGGCGATCGCACCTCTCCTGCACCGATTATTATCTACACGCCTGCCTACGGTGAAGATGTTAGCGAGGGTCCCCGATCTTGGTCGGAGAACCTCGCATTCCCTTCTCAATTCCGGTTAATTCATGATGCGAAGCTGCTTCCTGGAACGAATGACGGTCTGGACATGGCCCTTGTCGCTGGGAGGGAGGGTATCGCTTTACTCTGGTTCAGTGCGGCTCACAAGAGGTGGGAACATCGCATAGTTGGGGCTGGTCTTCACCGACAGGGAGACAATCCTTACTGGGGTTGCGGTTCAGTCGACGTCGTCCGTGTCGGGGATGATCCTGTCGGTTATGTTGCCACTTGTGACGTATGCGCTAGATTTCTTCTACGGTGTTGTTGCGATTCTCACTAATTATCAAGGCCTTCCACGGCAACATTGTCGCAGTATACACTAAACCACCAAACTCTACCAAAGGTGCCGCGTCTCTGAAGGAGAACATTTGGACGCGATTCGTGGTCGATGATTTTGGCCCTTTGAGCGCGTCTTATACAGGGACTATTCACCATGTCCATACCACTCACACGGTGACGGCTGATTCCTTCGGTATTGCGTGTATGGGTGCCCGTAAGTCCCGTCATGAATTGTTTTATAATAGCGAGACTCATAATATTTTCTGATAGCCGTGGAGAAACGTGAGTAGGGGTACCAAAAAGAGGCAGAGTGCGACTGACCTATCGTAACAGCCGAGAATCAAGGTGTATATCTGTATACTCCTATGAATCTTCTCAGCGGCGCTTTCAAGAGAACCAAGGTATCGGAAGAGTCTGGGGCAAGACTAGCTGTGGCGTCGTTCTCCGGGGAAATCAAAGAGGTATTTCCCATGTCTTAGTATTCCGTGTATTTCTTTCCTGACTGTTCGAATAATAGGAAATCGGATCTATTTCTTACTACGTCCCGGGCTACCACACGGGTCCCGACCCGCCAAGTGTTCGCATCAACTCGATCGAGCAATGCAACACTGCCTCTCGCACAACGATTTCCGCGACTAAGCTTAATAAGGAGGTTCTTCTTCGAGTTCCACGTCCCGCAGTTGTTCCCGAAAGCGTTATTCCGTCTATGCCTCTCTTGACCATCGCTGGGAAGAAGCACACCCTTGTGGTTCTTCGGCCCGGTCAAATCACCAAGCTCAAGCACTCCGCCGGCGCGAAGGTCATCTACGGTACAATTTACTCTCGTCTCTTTCGGTGCAGCGGTTGAGATATTTCGAATATAGGTTCTATCGAGATGATGACCACAAAAGGCGTGGTCACACGCACCATCGCACCTCCGGCGAAGGATACGGCCACCACTTATCCCCTCTCGATGGATGGGACCGTCAAAGCGGGGGAAAATGGTGCTGTCTTCGTTCTCGTTGAGGCTTTGGACGGCCATTTCCAGGGCCCGTATCACACCATGGATCAAATAACGACCACGAACATGTTCACGCAGGTTCCGCATGTCCCCGCCAATGTCAAGGCAATGGAATTTCCCTTCATCAAAGTGGAGGATCTTTCCTGGGGTGACAAGGACGGCGAAGGCCGTGAGTCGCACTTTCTCAATTTGCCCTGTTTTTCTCAATCCCTAAACTCTACACAGTCTGGAATGATTTCGAGTTTTATAATATGACGGGATTCCATATTTACTTCAACGACGATGCAATGGAGGAGATCTGCCACATGCAAGCCTGGACTTTGGGTCTGGGCGAGACGGTCAGCCTACCGCATCGCACCCTATTTCATTTCTGACAATCATTCATTCCCAGGCTCGTTTCCGTGAGTCTTTGAACGATGCAGACCTGGTCCAATTTTGACGTCTTCCTACAGACAATCATTCTGATCGATCCTTCTGCGAAATTCATTACTGCCTGTCCAACGGCGGTGGCGAGGGTAGCATGGCGAGTGATCCCTCATTTCATTCAACCGGGTTTGTGCTAATGGACATTGTGCAGCGATACTTCGCAGATGACGACACGGAAGATATCAATAAAGTTGCCGAGCTCACTAAATCCTATGTGGAGGAACGCAGCACCAAGCTGGTCGTTCCCACCATGTTCGAGCACGGCCCGCTCTGGAAAATCTTTCCTGGCACCAAATGGACGCCTCAGCTTCGGCCCAATGACACTGCAGATTACCCGTGGCACGCATGGCTTGCCAGTGAATTCGGAGACCGCGAACTCCCCATCATCCCGCCTCTCGACAAGCAACACCAGAGGTTTGATCTTTGGCTTGCGTGAGTCTTCCGCATTATATTATTTGCTTCTGCCCGCTAATGTGGTATTTTAGGTTCGAGTTTCCAACATCGGCGTTCCAAGAGTAATTCGTCGCTGCTTTGGAATGATGGAATAAGGCTGAAATGTTGTGTTACTTGCTTGTAACTGTCTCTTGTCTCCCGCTCTGTAAACATATTGAATAAGACGTTTTGTGACCCAACTTTTTGCGCTGCTGGATTCTCCTTCGACCCAGGTTAGTCAGACTCCACGACTGAAAGAATTCTGGAAAGAAAATAGGACTAAGATAGGTATGCGACCCCCACGCGTGTGCGTCGTGTTGGATCGCGTTTGATATCCCCGTCCGAGGGGTTGCGATCAGAAATATCAAGCCCAATACGGTAATCCACCGAGGAAATTTCAAGTTGAAGCTTCGAGTCAAAGGACGAAGATACAGATACACACGAAATTGAGGATTAGGAATTCCAAGAGCCAGTAATTATGGGTAGGGTATGCTTGGTTCGTCGTGGCACTATAGTGCAGTGGTAGAACGCCGCTCCTGCTCCAACAGCGCAGGGCGGTTCGATTCCGCTTGGTGGCACCACTTTGGAGCTGGGCCTCGCGCTGCGACGCCGCGTCCGCGAGAAACTCAGACGCGTTCTCCTTGCGCCCATTCGGAGTTTCAGAAAGAATATCTTTTTTCGTTCTTCTTTTTGTTGCCTTTTTCTTTCGCTGAAACCTGGTCGATCACTGAAGGCTACCCTCCATTCTGGCCGCAAATAACAAACAATGGTCGGTGCGTGGCAGGATTTTCGCAGGGATGCGAGGAGCCATAGACAGATGCACTTTCTGTGTAATCACTGGCCACGGCAATATATGCTAATCACAGAAGTCTCCACCATTTCACGTAGAATGTATGATACACTATGGAGAGGAGAGGGTGGCGTCCGAGCATTCAGCAAAGTCCTGGTACATGAGTAGTACTTGACGAGTTGGCCCGACTCAATGTTCTTTAGAAGATGAAAATTTGCGAGAAAAAAACCATCATTGGCAGAAGGATTCAACGAACCTATAGTTTTCTTGTCCTCAGGGATCATTTATTTCCGAATCGTATGTCCTCGAATGTGCATCATTAAAATTTCCCTTGAATAACATCAGAAAGCATCCCCGCCCCGTCCGGCAATCCCTCCTTGACTCGCCAAGCCGCGTCCTTACCCAATCATGTCGCCAGCCGAGCCTCATCGTCCGTGAACGCCGGCACCACCAATCCCCGGCGGCGGCTGCTCCCTGACGCACACACGACGTCGCATAGCGTCGACACAACGGCCCGCTGATCGCGATCGGGCGTCGATGCCCCTTTGATCATCGTGATCGCTGTGTGCGGCATACGCCGGCGCACGTCGAATCCGCGGGGTCGCAGCTCGTCCTCACGGGCGTCGCGGGCCTGCCGCACGTCGTTGCCGCGCTACTCGACTCGCCCTGAGCACGACAAGCGTGCACGCGTACTCCGGGAACCACACATCTTTATCCTGGCGCCCCACGCCGGTGCACACGACGAGCCGCCCTACTGCGTCGGGGAGATCCTCACGAACGTCGGGGAGCTGACGCCGGGAACGACGGTGGACTCGAACCCGCGCGTGCGGACAGGACCTCCTCGCGGCGGCCGTAGACGACGGGGGCAGCTTGTTTCAGCTGAGAAAAATAACATGCGGAGAGGGAGAGGGAGAGTAGAGGTGTACTCAGACAACGTTCAGTACGCGCCTGGCCGCCCTCCATCGTCTCGTTTTGCGCGCCCTCGGCATTTCCGGGGACTTCTTCGCGATGCAGCCTGCACGGTCGGCGGGATGAGCGCGAGGACGACGGCGGGGACGCACACGGCTACGTTCGACGGGCTCGGCGCGGGTGACTTTCACGCGAGGCTCCATGTGTGTCGACAGACAAGTCCCGGGTCCCTTGCGGAATGTCTGAATCGTAGAACTGCCGGACTTCAATTAACAACATCCGCACCTCCAAGAAGAGAGAAGAGCTTACCCTAGCTTCATCTCCATCTCCATATCAAACTCTTCCTCCCCAAGACCCGGGCCCTTGCCACGCAGTCCCGCAGTGACGGTCACGGTGGGAACAGCACTCTCGTTGCATCGAGAGGCTCGGCAGCTTGTCTTGGGTCGACAAATTCAGTGAACTCGTATCTTCCGGAAAAGTCGGCAGGGTGACTAGCGCTTGTTTTGAAGACTTGCTCGTAGCAGCTTCTCGGAATCCCGTAAGTAGCACCAGGTCTTGAGGAACAGACAGTGCATTCTGTAAGTCCGAAAGCATCCGAATCATCGGGAGCGTTCGGCGATCACAGTGTCTGCGAATATTTCTGGATATTTCTTCATTCCTCACATACCTTTGTTTTCGTTCAAACCATCACGCGCAATCTGAAACCATCGCGTCCAAATTGTGGGTGAAAATTAATTCGGAAAGAAGAGAATGGGTAAGGAGCATTCCAACGTCCTCAGGCTGATTCAAGTTGCGACGACTTGCAGGTTTACGCAGTAACCCTAGAAATACCGCTCGTATTTCGTCCTCTGCCTATGCAAGACCCCCTCAGTTGGTTTGCTCATGAGTCTTACCTGGAGTCATAGTGACAACCGTTCGCATTCACCATGTCCGTAGAAGAGCTTCGGGCCTCGATCGAGCTGATCTCCGTCGATATCGAGCGGCAAAAAGAGGTCCTAAAAAATTGGAGACCGATAAAAGCCTCCTCCAGTGCCGGCTAAATACCGTCCTCGATCCAGTCGCGCGTTTGCCGCTCGAAGTCTCGTCCGAGATTTTCGTCCAGTGTCTTCCTCGAGCTCCTCTCCCGGAGCCCGGAGCCCACCATCTACCCATAATTTCCTAAATGTTTGCACTCCGTGGAGTCGTATCGCCATCTCGATCCCCGCGCTCTGGAGTGCAATCCACGTCCAGTTTCCGCGCGCCGAGCGCTTTGAAAAACTCCTGGAAATCTGGCTTCAACGCGCGCATAACCGACCTCTTTCTCACTCCATGGATCCTTTGATGGTTCCGTCGCGACAATTATCCACCAGCTCGCCAAGCCGCTCGAAAATTTCGAGATATACAATGACCAACGGACCGTAGCTGCTGTTGACCCTTTGAGCGGTGTGGGCTCGGGGACATTATCCTTGCTTAAACGACGATGGTGACACGGATGGATTTCTTTAATTCGATCTCGATTGCCTTCTTGATGTCTTTCGTTTTGTTCCGAATCTTGTCGAGTGCACATTAGACAATGCTCTCTCCGACGACGTCTTGAAACCCCGAGAACCACTGGTTCTTCCGGCTTTGCCAGTGCGTAACCTCAGTTTTGGAAGATCCTCGGACGAATCATACAGCAACGACTCAATCCTGCAGTATCTCACATTACCCCGCCTCCAAACTCTTCGCTTTTCGATGTATTGTTTCAGCGACAATCGTGTTTCTTTCGTCCCACGATCTTCGCCACCTTACGATAGGTGAAGGACTGGAGTTCTCCGAACTAGAGCAATCTCTCGGCCTTCTTCCCTCTCTCACCCATCAAAGGAGGCCAACGATTTACCTGGGAATGTCGAAAGACCTTAGGCGATACCACAGGCAAGATTCCCAAACGAATTGAACATTTTGGGGCAAGAACCACCGAAATTCCAACCAGAATCTTCAAACAAGGAGTCTGGGTGCCCTTATCTGCCGGGTAAATTTCCAGCTACAAATTGTGAGCATCCGGGATGACTTTGTACCCTCAAAATATGGTGAATACTTTGTTTGGCCTGCACAACGCGTCCAAGTCGCGTCAATGGGTGGTGCACGTGGTGCACGTGGACACCGGAAAAGGAAAGCTTACATAATAGGTAGGAATCGGCGCGCGGGCCGTGACCAACGGAGTTACTTCCCCGCAGGCCAGATTGTTCCTGGCCTTCATCTTCACTTCTGCTTCTGACCAGTACTATAGCGGCACTTGGACATCAAAATGCACCAGAAGGTCAAAATGCGATCGCTTTCACTCAATTTATGTCCAATTTTCTTCGGAAGTGCCGGATATTGAACCGACAGCCGTGCCCGTTCATAATATAAAAAAAAATTGAGGAAATTCGGATGGGTATTGGTCGAGAATCCGCCCCGAGCCCTCAAAACCACTGATGCCCTACCAAAATCCAATGTGCTGTATTTCACGGCCAATAAAATTCTATGGGACTTAGCATGGAGGTTCATATACTGTGTAAAAGCATTGTTCACAAATTTTTGGGCTCAAAATCGAGGCGGGAAACGTCCTGAAGACCATTTTAACCCTTAGAATCGGCATCAAGCGGAGTTTGAATTGCCACAATTGCTTGAACACACACATCCTGTGGCCGTCCCGCCTCGATTTTTGCCCCGGAAATTTTTGTTACATCATTTTAGAGGTTATCTACCTACACCCTCCAAGTCCTATGAGAATATATTGCCTACAAACTACAGTGCATTGACTTTTTCAATGCCATCAGTGGACGTTTGAGCTCGGGGCGGATTTTCGTCCAATACCCATTCGAATCCCTTCGAACTTTTTTTCATATTGGGATGGGCACACCTGTCGGTTAAATTTCCGGTACTTCCGAAGACGATTGGACAAGAATCAAGTGAAAACGAACACATTTTGAACTTCTAGTGCATTTTGATGTCCAAGTGCCACTATAGTACTCGGGCTCGGGATTCTTATGCATAAAAGTCTATTCTCCGTCGATGGCGTTTCATCGGCCCTCTCCATGAACACCGAGTCGCCAAGTGAGCCGGAAGTGACTCGGCCGGCAAAACGCAAGAGAATACGCCAAAAGGCGTCCTGCCTGGCTTGCCAGCGCCGCAAAGGGCGTTGCGATCAAATTGACGGGGACCGCTGTGAAGGCTGCATTAGTGAGTCAGTTCATTGGGTCTTCATCGACCTACCCATGATACTGCCCAGAGCGAAAGGAGGAGTGTGGTAAGCAACTGCTCCTGTCCCGAATCCACCCATCATCTCATCCAAATTTCAAGTTTGGGAAGTTCCTGCACTTCTTGGAAATGTCACGGACGATGTTACGTCTACGATTGGACATTTAACGCGCCGAGTTGCTATTGTCGGTGTCCCAGGAATTCGTCCGCACACTCACTCGCACTAACATATATCAGCTTGAACGTCAGATGGCTCTTAAGCAGGACCGCGTTCCACCGACAAACCCCTCAATCAACACCTCAGAAACCACCCCGAGCCATACGGAATCACCTAGCTATTTAGCCAATACTCCGATTACCGAGACAGAAGACGCCGCGCAAGCCCTGGAAGAGACCGCTCTGGGCCGACGTCAATACCATTCTCTTGGATTAAACTCGGAAGTTCCTGGTTCGCAAGCTCGCAATGCTTCTTCGGTGAGTTTTGCGTGTACATCGATGCCGACAGGTTTAACTCGCTTCCATTCTAGCTCGTAGCTCCCGGTGCTTTCACCAGTATCTTTCTAGGGATGCCGCCTCCCAAGCGGTCTGTTCTCCAGGCAACCCAGTCTGAAAACGAGACGTTTTTCAAGAGCCTTCCCGACAAGCACGTATCCGATACATTGGTGCAAATATTCTTGA